GCAAATATTCTTTACTAGCTTCATCAATAATATTATTATCTTTATCGAGAACAAATTTATACTGTTTAAGAAATTCTTGATGTTCTTTGTCAAGAAGAATGTTTTGTTTATTATTTAACTTGATTTGAATATATTCAGTTATATGTTTTTCATTGTCAGGAAATATAATTGGTCTTCTAAAATTTGTTTTTTTGTTCTCTTTGAACCATGTATCTAAAAATTGAGACATTAGAATTTACTTAAAGAAAATCTAATCAGTAATAAACTAATTAGATTTTTTTCTTTTTTTATTAATTACCAAATTAAGTTTTTTAATTTACTTTAAATCTTGTTTTTGATTTGTTTTTACGTTGATTCAGTGTTTCCAAATCGCTAATTTGGCTACGGTCCCAGCCTAGCACTGAATCGTCATAAAAAATGTCTCAAAAACTTTTTTTATCCACCCCGGTAATTTATTACCCTTGTATAATTTGACTTCTGTGTTGAATGGCCTGCAAGGCAGGGTTGTGTTTTTTGTGTGTGCCTGGCAAGCAGGCAGAAACTTTGAAGATCATCCTCGTACGCCACCTTGTGCAAACCCTGCGATGTTTACGAAATATGATCCTCAAAGTTTGTTTTTTTTAAAAAAAAATTATGATTTAATATTTTAAAAAAAAATTATTAAACAATAATATATTACAGCATACTTCTCAAAAAATTATCAACTAGCAAACACTATTACATTCTTTTTTTTTTAGATTTATATTCTATTACATTTTTTCTGTTTTTGATTATCTCATTAATTCGTAAACAGATATCTTTAGGTGCTTTTAATTTAAGCTTTTCTTTTCAACTAGTCCAACCATTCTTTAACCATTTATTAATTCTATTTTCTATAAATATCAAATATATATTTTTGTTCTTTGTTTCGATTATTAGTTTACCATCATCTTTATCTGTTTCTAAAATTTGTAATATAAGAATAAATTCTTTGATATAGGATTCGCTTGCACTTTTTGAATTATCATCTACTTTCTTGATAAAATAATGATCAATTAATCTTTTAGATGTTGGTATTTCTAATCTAGTAAATTTTTTTTTGAACCTAAATATGCTAATCTATCTGCTTGTTCATTCTCATAAATACCACTATGTGCTTTCACATGATTAAAATATGTTTTACCTTTTCGTTCTTTGATTAAATTATTTAATCTAAATACAAGATCTGTATTTTGTTTAGGTGTTTCATTGTTATATGAATTAATCACATACATAACTATCTGTGTTTATAATAATATCTTGTTGTTTATTAACAATTTCCAATGCTCGAATAACAGCATATAATTCAGCCTGATTATTCGTTTGAATTTCACCTGGTAATCTTTCAGACAAATTTCGATCATCATCATCTGCAAAAAATATACCAACACTAGCAATTGAATTTAATTTTCCTAAATACTGTTTTTTACTATTTATTTCTTTACAATTAAAACAATAACCATCAGTCCAAACTGATAGTTTGTTTTTATTATCTATTTGTTTTATAAAATCTTCAGCCTGCTGTTTGTATTAAATTTTTTATACAAAGCACCAGGATATTCGTGAATCTGTTGTTTATATTTTTCCCACGACATATAAATTCCTGATTCACGATCAACACGAACAGCATAATAACCTAATGTTGAATAATATGTAAGACTTGACATTTTTGCAGTTATTCAACAGAAGTCAAATTATACAAGGGTAATAAATTACCGGGGTAGAAAATGAGAGTTAGTATAAAGTGAAGAAAATAAATTTCTAAACAAAATACAGTTGAGAACTCCCTCACCTTTCTCTTAATATTCTTTTAGTGTTAAAAAATAGAAAATATCAGGTTTAAATAGAAATTTAGAGCTAATTAAAAAAAAAATCTGATTTCTCGAAACTAATCAGATGATTTTATTATATAAAATAAAAA